GATTGTTCTTCCGGGTAGCACACTGCTCAATCTGCCCGAGATGTTAGTTTTCCTTTTTCTTGCTCTGCTATTTTAGAAGAAAAACCAAATCGTTTAAAATAGCACTAAGGCCACCTTATTATAGTAAATAATTAAGACAATGTAGGGTACACATACGTCAATGATTTGAATACTGCTACCTCTGGGGGTTTTTGCTGTAGTCAAGAAGCACCATTAGCCTGTAAGCAGACAATGGAAAACACTGACAATGTTTTCTCAAAGCTTAATGCGCAAACTCTTCAATAACAGCTTTGCATCCTAGTCAGATATACAGTATGAAAAGGTTATTCTTTAACTCCTTTGTTAAACTATCTCATTTTGCTTTGCTGCTGTGAAGCATGTAATAACTCATAGCTTATGTGCTATCTTTGACCTAGAAACACTGGCAGCTGTTAGGGGAATCGCTGGGTTTTTGGAAAGTATCAAAAGGTTTTTAGCACATAAACCAAATTTATGAACAGATACTGCCCTGGAGAATAGAATTGTTTATGTTTTAGTATCACAGCTGTCACTGGTGCACAGTTATTTTGTCCTGTATTAATCCCCTGAAAAGGTTGAGCATCTTCACTCAGTCACTGAAATATTTTATAATTGACAGACTTCATCTGGCACTGAATATGTATAATAATTTTTGCCATAAGGAGCACACTGTGCTGACACTAATCTGTTCTGTTGTCATCTCCCTTTATTATCAATGTCTGCATTGTTTTGTCAGCAGCACTGAAGAACACAAATACGAAGCTTCTAATTGAAAAAGCTAAGTAAATCAAAAAGCCAATTAATCATACAGATGAGCTCTGACACTCAATGATGCAACAAACAGAAATACCACATACGCATAACTGAAGTATTTTTAAAGTGCGCTTATTTGATGTAAGAATGATCTGAGAATGTAATTAGCATTCTTTGTCACAGGTGACAGACTCATATTGCACATTTCTTCATACTGACATTACTTCTCTGAGCTCCGCTTGCTCCGCTCCCACCTTCCCTCCCATTCTGATCTGTTCCCTGCTGAACAGCCCGTACTCTGACTTTGTGTACCTTGCACCGACATCAGGACAAGTTTAGGAACAAATAAGCAGCCTATTATTGTGCTCTGTAATTTCCAGAACGTTACGCCTTGCCAGACCTTCCTTCTTTCTTAAACCTCTATTTCCATCCCAATGCTCAAAAAAATCACCAATTCTGAAACTCACAAATGACCTTAATAACGGCTGCAGGCACCAGCCTCAGTGAAGCTGGGATTGCAGGAGTCATGACCTCTCTGCTTTTGCAGGTTTTCATTCTGTAATCTCCACATCTCTGAAAAAGTTCAAAGTCAGATTTGGAGCACGGAGTTCACCTCCTTTCAGAGAACAACTCTTTTTTTTGTGTAGAAGAGATATGCACATGTACTTTGAAAACAAACCAGATGACAACCTGGCAAAGCAAAGGTTTCTTAGTCAGAATGAAAAGACAAGCCTTAATGTCACGAGAGCTCCACTCTGAAGATGGAGCAAATATTGTCCATGCATAGGGCAGTCAACTCAGAACTGCCTGCTGTAGTCCTGGAGGACTTCCAAGTCCAAGAAGAGAAAGCAAGAGATGGCAGAGTTCACCTATTTCACGTCACCTGGGGGACGACACTTCAGTAGTACTCAAATACAGTTATTTCAAGTGCATTATCTCGCTTGCACACAACAAGGATGTATTCACACATGTGTTAACATGTGGTTCCACATTGGAAGTCTTCACTTAACAGGAGCAGGCGAAGGCACTGTATCGATGACCTACTTCAACATTAAAAATAACTAAGAATGAAATCTTACTGGCTGCATAGCACCTTAAAAAGGTAAAATAAAAGCTTTCACACAAAAAAAACGTGCTTTACCACGCATCCTTCACCATTAACTACTCCAGTACTACTTGCACCATAACAGCAAAATGGAACCTGATAACTAAGAGCAGAGGTACAACCACCCCATAAGAAGCCAGTTTGGATGAGATACTGCAGATGCTTTTTCCTCTAACACCAGCCAGTTCTTTGAGAATAAGGAAGGTATTCTGTGGGCATTTTTTTGTGAAGGATCTTCTTTTTTAACTGTTTAAATAATGCACCATTTTAGAATCATTAAACTAATTTACCCTTGTCCTTGCAAACTATTTTTCATTGCCAAGAACATGGACTTCATTAATGTAATCTTCAGAAAGGTAGGACAAAACACTGAGACAGTATCTGATATGTCCTCTATTTAAAATTAAGACCAATTATACACACTGGTAATTCATGCAACATGCTCTTCTTCCTAATCCATAAAAACAAGGGGTTTTCTTCTATCCTTCTAAGCTCCATAAATGAATATATATCTTGCTAATATCATTTTCAAAACTAACTAAAAAAAACCCAAAAAAACCAAATTAATCAATAATAGGTAGACTCAGGAAGAAGACAGAGGGGTAAAGGAGGCAAAAGTGTTCAGGCTGAAGGTTACAACCAACCTGGGATCTAGAAAATGATAACAGTAGTAATTATTTGAAATTAACATCCTGTAAAATAATACCCTATAAAGAATAAGAATGTTAACAGCAATACGTTAAACCATTGTAAGCATGTCACACAGCTTACCAAACTGTTCTGTACAGTTTAGTTTCAAGTCTACCATGAAAAAAAAGACACAGAAGTGCTTTTGAAACACGGCATAAACAACTTGCAATTAACATTACACTCTCCGCATACTGGTGGCTTTTGGAGGAACCACTAACTCCACCCAACGAAAGCAGAAATTCAGTATGTAGCTTCACACTTCACAGGCAATTTTAAGATTACTTTGTGACACTCATTCACTTACAATGGCTCTCCATCAGTGCTGGTATAAAAGTAACCTTGTTCGGATTATTTCTCTGTATGTAATTACCGTGACAGATGAAATCTCATTGCAAATGTGAGAACTTAGTAAAGAAAACAATATTCTCAACATTAAAGCCTCCATCTTGTCAATATTAAGCCAGAAACAGTAGCAGTTAATACCAAAAAAACCCTCCGGCCACAGTTTTAATCTTTATCTCCTTGGAAAAGTCATCTTGTTTAACGGTAAAACATAACCACAAAGTCAGCAGCAGAAATGAACAGAGAACTCTTCATTAAAAGGGAAAGAAGGCTTACCCTTTCCTCCAGTCGAGCCAGCTGCTCTTTGTAGTAGGCATCATGCTTCTTCAGTTCTCTGTCTTTCTCTTCCAGCTGCTTGGCCTAAAAAAAGAAATAGAAAGATAAAACTGGATCAAGAAAGAGGATCACTTGCAAAGCAAAACATCTACTATAAATTGTACCAGTAAGGAATATACAGCGATTGAGAACTGCAGTCTATTAGTTTTTGCCAAACAGTGCATTAATAAGATGATGATTGCTGCATTGAAAATGTAAAGAGATTGTCTATTGTACTGGGTTTTTTCCTTCCCTCCTCAACAGCTGTGCCATAGTTTGTCCAAATGTATTTGGAAATGTCATGAAGATGGAACCAAGCATATCCTGCTGA